TGTATGAATGACGGTTTTTAACACCTCCATCCATAAACTTATCGGTAGGGTAGAGTAACTTATCATGCTTCTCACCATATCCATTAAGATACGGTTACGTCTTTTAGCTACTCCATTCTACTGAGGCTTGCTCGGTGTAGAATACTGGGCTACTATGCCATTTTCCTGTAAGTACCTTGCAAAGGGTCCAGGAACATGGCCATATGCGTTGTGTCGACCATAGTATTCTCCCCCATGGTTGGATCTTACTACCTTAATCTTTAAATTGTGTTTATTTTTTAACTTCAACCTTAAATATCTTAAATTTATCCAATACTTCCGATCTTTCTTTAATTGGATAAATATAGCCAAAATGAGAATAGTCATCTATGAATGTTATAACTGAATCATAACCATTCACACTCTTCACAGGAAAAAGGACCACAGATATCTGTGTGAACTATTTCTAAAATTCCTACGCTTTGTTTGACATCTTTCTTTATTTTCTTAACATACTTTCCTTTTATGCAATCTATGCATTGTTCTAAATCTAAAAATTCTAAAGGCGGAAGAATTGATTTCTTAATCAATCGCTCTATTCTCCCTCTCGAAATATGGCCTAAACGACAGTGCTATAATTTCGAAGATACATCATGCATTCTCTTCTGCTTATTTGTTGCATTCATAGACAAGGAAGCATTCTCATTCTCAATACTTACATCATTCATATTCTCAGAAAGTGATAATAAATAAAGCTTGTCTTGTCGGAAGGCAAGACCAACACATTTATTATTATAAACAATCTGACATTTTCCATTACCAAAATGGCAATCATATCCACCGTCATCTAAACATGAAACACTTATTAAGTTTCTTCGCAAAGAGGGTACAAATAGAACATCTGAAAGCTTAAGTAGAAAACCATCAACTAATTCTAGAGAAAGATCTCCAATGGCTTCAACTTGAGCTTCAACTCTATTTGCTACATTAATTCTTCTTTCTCCTCTTTGCAGGGTCCTCGTACGGAATCCATGTAATGAATTTGCAACATGAACAGTTGCACCTGAATCAATCCACCAAGTAGATTTTGCATAACTTAAATATAGGGATTCATCTATGAATGTAATGATATCCACACCTTTCTTTAGAACGTTCTTTAGGAAGTCTGGACAGTCCCTTTGGTAGTGTCCATGTTTCTCGCATCATTTGCACTGATCCTTTTCAACTTGAGCATTGTTGTTCTTCTGATGGTGCTCAGTCTGAGGGGCTTTCCCTTGAGGTTTGGCATTCTTATTAAAGTTCTTTTTTTTGTCCTTCACAAGGTTAGCAGAATCACCCTGTAAGGACTTCAGCCTTTCCTCTTCTTGAACACACATTGTGATGAGCTTCTCTATGTCTCACTTGTCGGGCTGCATGTTGTAGTTAACAACAAAGGTTTTATATTCCTTTGGCAACGAAGCAAAAACCAAATGAATCAAGAACTCATCTTTGATCCCCAAATCCATTGGCTTCAGCTTCGAAGGTGTTGCTCATCTTCAATATGTGCTCTCTGATACCATCACCAGTATATTTTTCATTGAACAATTTCTTGATCAATGTACTAGCATAAGCCTTTGAAGAGCCAGTGAACTAACTCTCCACCTTCTTTAGGTACTTCGTGGCAGTATCATAGTCTGAGATAGACCCCCTTATAGCATCTGAAATTTTGGACTTAGCTACCATTAAGCACTTGCGGTTTGATATGTCCCATTTCTTACGTTCGAGATCATACTTCATCCGCACTTCTGCATGATTTCGCTGCCGATCAGTGAAATCAGCATCAGACTCATTTTCTTCCCTCACCGGGCCCACTGACTCAGTAGGACACGGGGAGGTTAGCGCTAAGTCATTCTTGGACAGCGCAAGTGCGAGCTTATACTTCTCTCGCCATACTCTAGAATTGCCCCATTCTTGAGGTGGTATGTGCGAGATGAATGCCATTGGGTTGAGTCATAAAAAACACCGTTAGAGATAGTGATAAAATTATGATATTATAATTGCATGCTTTAATTTAACGTTGGTCAAAATTAAAACATACAATATTCTTATACACTAATTCTACATCACCGTTGGGCAGAAATAGAATTAATGCATAGAAAACTTATGAATAAACATTATAATATTGTTATTATCAATGTTGGTCAGAAAAATAACAATATTATAATTTGTTGACTAAAAATGACTACTCTTCAAATTAAATTCTTCCGTTGGTTCGAATTTAATTATAAGATAATAAACAATTACATTGCAGCGGAAAAATGAAAAATTATTTAACTACTTTTCAGAAGCATTTTCTAGTTCATATCTACTTTCTGGAAAAAAGTAACACGTTGGTGTAATTTTACCAAAAAATTTAAATCTTCAAAATTCATCAAAATTCATTCAAATCTGCTTCTGAAAATGAATAAACTTCAAACATTATTTATTTGTTTATTACGCTCGACCTCTTGCAGCAGCAGTAAGCGCCCAACAAATGACGATCGCAGAGCTCGACAAAGCGGGCGGCCACAGCACGCTGGCGCTCATGACGCGCCTCCCGCGCCCAGGCCGCAACCTAGGCCTGGGCTAGGAAAGCTCTCGCCCACCTAGGCTCAATCTGGCTCGAGATGCTCTCAGTCGTCCATCTAGATCCGACGGCCAGGCATCGTTTTCGAGAGATCAAAACCCCCGGCGTCGCGGCCACCCCCGAAACCCTATCCCATTTGCATTCTTCCTTTCTCTCTCTCTTTGTCGCGCCCCTCTCTACTCCTCAGCGCAGCGGCGGTCGAGTGATAGAGCGAGAGCGAGAGCGAAGAGAGAGACCATGGCGCCGTTGTCGGCCCCTTTGCCGGCGTGCGCGCTCCCCACATGGGTGAACGCACCATCGTTCGAGCGGACTTGCGGCGGCGCCCTTGGCTGGAGCTCACACTCACCTAACGAGCAACGATTCGGCCTTCTTCCCGCGCGCCGATAAAACAACATCGCGGTGCAGCGGCGAGGTAAGTCGTCTTCTAAAACCCTTCCCCTTTCCCCTTTCCTTCTCTGATTTGGCATCTTTCTTTCTTTTCTTCTCGGATCTATCCAATTTAGGGTTGAGGATGGGGTTAGGATTGAGATTAGGGTTAGGATTGAGATTAGGGTTAGGGTTTCCTTACTGTTCATCTTCCCCGAGCGGTTCGCGCAGGTTAGGGTTAGGGTTTGAGTTGTTTTTCAAAAACAAAACCCTTTCTTACTACTTTTCTTCATCCGATTTGGGTTTAGGGTTCGATGAACCCTCTGTTTAGATCTAAAACCGAATCTATCATCTCCTTCTAAATGCTACTACTCGGTTTTCTTATCCGATAGGCTAGATCTACACCTAGTTAGGCGTTTGATACCATTGGTAGACCTAAAATAGGATCACTAGCCATAGATCTAGCGTGTTTACTTGCTTTTGGAATAAACTGTGAGTCCTAAAACATCTACTAGTACAATATTAATAGTTAGAGTGAGAGAGAGAGAGGGGTGAAGGGCGTGCAAACCATCGGCCGCCTTCGTGGAAGACGGGTTGGCCATCGCAGCGCTCGGTGGTGAAAGGCGACGGTGCAGTAGTGGTGTCATCCAGGGGTCGATGTAGAGGTCGCAGGGCAGCCCGGCGTCGTAGCAGCCCTCCGGCGTGATGCAGAGGTGGCGGCGGCACTTCCCGTCGCTGGCAGCGCCCCCTCTGTGATCGGTTAGGGTTTAGGACTGTAGGTGGGGTGGTAGGCAGCTCAGACGAACCTCGTGCTTGGCGCCCCGGCCCCCACCTCCTATTTATAGCGCTGTGTGACGGGGGCCCACCAACCATATTAGGGTTGGGCGTCTCCGATCAGGATGCGGATCCAAGAGCCCAATTGCCCGGGTGGAGATCAACTAACAATGATAGCTTAAAAACCATTTACTCCATCCGTCCTGAAATAAGTGATGCTTTTTTACTTTCAGATATCTTATTTGACCGTGTTATTCAAAAATTTTATATAAATATCATCTATTTTGTTATGACATTTTATCATTAGAGATACTTCAATAATGATTTATTTATTTTATGATTTTAAGAAAAAAATTGAATAAGACATACAGTCAAACATGATATCTAAAAATAAAAAACGTTACTTATTTTGGAACGGAGAGAGTATCGGCCTCCAAAGGCCCAACCTCGTCAGTTACGGTCTATGATTCCAACTCTGTGGTTCCAGCTCATGCGCCCAAGCTAGCTCGGCGATGAATAAGAACTTTGTTGTTTTCACGTGTCTTTTCTTTGTTCTATATAGGTTATGTATTTGCATTGTTCTATATTTGATCTAATGGGGTCCTTATATCTTAAAAAAAAGGGGTATGAGCAAGTATCAAGTTCTATAAAAAAAATGAGGTCAACGTTTTAGACGTGCTCTATTTGAATTTGAATAAATATAAATTATTAGCTGTAACTACAGAGGACATTGTTAAGAATCAAGATCAAAGAAGGGCACAAGCAACTGAAGCAACTAAAGTAAGCAATCACTAAAAGCAGAGCACGGCACAGAAGATACTTACATCCACCTCCAGCTCCTCAATGCAAGGAGCAGTCCCCAGAAGGATATATGGCAATAAGAGAAAATTGTCAAGACAAATAAAAACTAGCAACTTAAAATTTTCAGGTGAGAGAAACAATCTATGGTATATATATAACAATAACAAAAGACAGAAACTTCTCAGATCAATAACCGAGCAATGAAATTAAAGGACTTGTTTTGTGTTCCAGAAGACGTTCAATGCTGGTTATATATGTTGTCGGAAAAAAAAAATCGCAATCTTGGAAGCCGGACAATTCCTGTTGGTTTTCGACTTATCATAAAACAGCGTTGTTGAACTTAAGATTAGCACTTAGGTAGGTATAGCACAAAAATACATCGAGCTTTTATTCTTTGTGAAGCAACTCCTCCACATCGAGCGGCTTCAACCGTTCTACGGTACGGTTCTACTTGTACCACAAAACTTCACTACGTTTACTCTGATTTCGTTGGGTCGAGAACGTGTCCCATGAAGACGACGACACCAGACACCTCCTCCACCACAAAGAACGCAAACGGATGGTCGGCGACAAAATTGACAGGGCGCCTATAACTATAACAGAGCAATCTCATCATGCAAGCAGAAGAGGCCGCTGCTTCTGTGCCTTCCTCGTTCACCTCGATGACCGCCTTGTGGAAAACATGCTCCAACACCAGGTCAGTCCTGCCCTCCAGCATGTCTGAGAGGTCGGCAGTGCCTGGCTTAAAGGCGGCCTTGATCCCCATCGCCTTGAGAACGCCATTGATTCTGCTGGAGAAGGAGAGCTTGAACTTTGGCAGCCGCAACTCGCGAACCTCGACGCGTTCAGTCGGCATGTGGTCCCACAGGAAGCTGGGGCAGGAGGCCATCTTCTCCACGAGGCTCGGCAGGCCGTCGTGGGCGTCCGGGAGGAAGACGCACATCGAGAACCGGGAGCCCGCCTCCCCGTCTTGCTGCTTAGCATGAAGATTACGGCCGCCCCCATATCTGTCTTCCCAGTGGGGTAGACGGTATGGATGGTAGGCTAGCTTGAGCACCTTGAACCCGTCGTACTCCGCCACCGCCTTATCCTGACGCCGCGCATGAACGGCGTGCGCACGTGGCTGCCGTCGAGCCGCTGGAAGCGCCTGGTCTCGGTGTCCTTCTTGGCGAAGGGCATGGACCACCTGCCCTTGAAGTAGATGGCGTTGGCGAGCACTAGGCCGGTGTCAGAGTTTACAGAATCTGGAGGAAGGATTGAGGTGATGAGATCCTTCGTGACTTTGGAAACCCATGCGTTGATTTCCTCTCTTGCCTCCTCTGGCTGCATGCATCATTATATGCATAGATCGATTAGCTTACCACGGACTGGACGCATTAGCTGATCTAATTAATTCTTGCTGTTGTTAATTATGTAATTGATAGATAGATCAGGGGACTGAACTGAACCTTATAGAGGAAATCGGCGGCGTGCGTCTCGGCCTTGTAGGATTCAACGGCGGCTGCGCTGTAAGCTGGCTTCAGAGCCAGCGTCTTCTCGTGCCAGAGTGCGCACGCGAACGCGACAAGCGGCGCACCGGACTCGGAACGGTCGGCAAGGGCGCGCTCCACCACGCCACGGACGAACTCGGCGATCTCGTCGCGCGACGCCGAGCCGAGCACGGTCAGCACCTCGTCCAGGGTGGTACCACGTGTGCCGGCGGACATCAGGGCTAGCGCCATGTAGATGGACACCGGCGAGAAGACGACGTTTTGGCCGCCTCCGTCGACGACGCCAGCGCCCTCATCAGTGTCATCGGCGAGACGCATCGCCAGGCGGAGCGCGAACGCCGTCAGGCCAGAAGCGGCGGCCCTGCACGCCTTCTTGCTTGGCCTCGCCGCCGCCTCCTCTCCCATGCTGCCGTACGTGTATATTCCTAGGTAATAGAAACAAACAAGACGGCGCGCGGTTAACCTACCTGGCTATCTCTATATTCTCTCTATATATACACGAGGAATCGGCTTCGCCCGCCCCCATCATCCATCGTGCCTCTTTATGTGTTCCGGCCCAGCTCTGATGAATCGGCTTCGCCCGCCCCCATCATCCTCCACGCGCTGGTTCACCGCCGTCATCATCAAAGAGCCCGCCACTACAGCGGCAGCCAGCGGCCCGACGTACTACACCGCGCAGCCCTCCTCCTAGTCTCCGTACATGCTCATCAAGTTATCACGCCAGCTGGGCGCGGCCGCGGATTGACGGACTCCAACTGCAGCAGGAACATATTGTTAGATTGATCTCCCAGCCAATAAGCCCAACGGCTTATTAGGCCTTGGTCACGCGTCCTGATCGGAGGCGCCCAACCCTACATGGTTGGTGGGCCCTCGTCGCACTGCGCTATATAAAGTGGTGGGGGCCGGCGGCTCGAGGTACGAGGTTCACCGTGAGCCGCAAACCCCACCTACAAACCCTAGACCGATCTGAGAGGGCGCGCAGCCAGCGACGGGAAGCTCCACTGACTTCGCCGTCGTCACTGCCACACCGTCCGTCTGCACTGCATCGACGTCTGTGCCACCTCTACTCCACCCGTCGCTGCCCGTGCGCAGACCTTCATCACCAAACCTTCATCCGTGACTCCCTGCGAGGGCTCAGGTTCAACACCAACACCTCTCTCTCTATCTCTCTGTCTCCACCTCTCGGTCTAGATGTACTAGGGCTTATCTAGATTAACTGGTTACCTAGAAGTCCCTCGGTTCTACTCTAGATCGTTTCTATGGATATAACATTGGTACCAGAGCCACGGTTTAGGTATAGATCTGGCTTAACAAATAGAAATCCAGTGCGGATCTAGAATGTAGAAAGGGGCTTCGGCCGACAAAGGGTTCGGTTGAACCCTAACCTCGATCCCTTCAGATCTGAGAAAAGATGTAGGTTCGGATAAAAGAAAATCTAACCCTAATCCTAGATAGGGTTCGGGAAAAGAAAGAAAAGATACATCCAAACCCTAGATCGGGTTTTGGGACAGAGATGATAACAAGGTTTCAACTGGAAACCGAACTTCAAACCCGAGAAGAAATCAAATCGGAGAAAAAGAAAAACAGTGGCCATCCCAAACCCTAACCCTAACCCTAATCGGCAAATCGGATGAAATCCGAACAAACGAATCAAAAGAAAGGGGAAGAAAGGAAAGGGGGTGGCCTACCTCGCCGTTGCGCGGCACTGCAGTCACGTCGGCGCGTGGGGAAAAGAAAGGTTGGCCGGGGGCACGGCTCGCCGGTATCCGGCCATAGGGGCGCCGTGGCCAGGCCACTCGACGGCGGCGCGCTCACCCGCTGGGGAGCGCGCACGCCGGCGAGGGGGCCGGCGACGGCGCCGGGGCTCGCTGCTTGCTCCCGCCGTGGTCGCTCGCTCGGTGACTGACTGAGGAGAGAAGAGAGAGTGAATGAGAATGAATTAGGGTTTTCGGCTTCGGAGGTACGCCGCGTCGTTTTATTCTGAGCGAAACGCCCGCTCGGCCATCCGATGCTGAACGGACGGCCAAGATTGAATGGGCCAGCGCCGCAGCACAGGCGGGATAGGGCGCGAGGCTGAATTCCCGGCCCAGGCCCAGGTTGCGGCCTGGGCGCGGGGGAGCGCGCTGAAAGCCGCCTGCAGCCATGGGCCGTGGGCCGTTTGCGCTGCTATGGGCCAAAATGGCCGAACACAGTGAAATAGAATTAAAAGATTTTTCCAGAAACTTTTGATGCATATTAGATGAATCTGTATTGCATTTTTTGATGCAAATTTCTGTACAAAATTTATCCAACGATATTTTTTTGTTCAGTAAATAGTAAAGTTGCTTCTGAAAAAAAAAATTAAAAGATTTATTAAAGTTTCCGCTGCGTACTTAAAAATTGTTGTTTTCATTATTAAATTCGAACCAACGGGAGAATTTAATTTTGAAACATAGAAATTTTTTACAGTTATTATAATGTTGTTATTATTCTGACCAACGTTGATTAATAGCAATATTATAATGTTGATGTTATTATAGTCTTTTGTTATGCATTATATCTATTTCTGCCCAACGGTGATGTAGATTTAATGTATAAAATAATTGTATGTTTTAATTTTGACCAACGTTAAACTAAGGCATGCAATTGTTGTTGTTATTATTTGTGTTCTCACACTATTTGAATTATGTTTTCAGGAGGATACAACTTGATGAGTTGTATCAAAGAGATCCCCACTCTAAAAGGTGATAACTATATTGAGTGGAAGAAAAAGATAGACCTGACTTTCATCCTCGCTGAGGTGGACTGGGTTGTCACCTCACCGTGTCCCAAAGAATCTGTGGCACCGGTGAGGGAGACAGATGAGACTGATGCTGCATGGCAGAACAGAGAGCAGAACTTTGCTCCCGTAAAGATGTCTTTTGACCTTGAAAATAGAAAGTGGGTCACAGCCAATAAGAAATGTTTGACTGTGATAAAGAATACAATTGAGCCTGCAATAGTGGGCTCAATTCCAGACTGTGACACGGTCACAGAGTACCTAGAAAGAATAAAGAGTCAGTTCACTGGCTTTTCAAAGACATATGCAACCCAGCTGATCAAGCAGCTGGTTACAGAAAGGTACTCTGGTGGCGGCAGTGGCATTAGAGAGCACATACTGAGAATGAGCAATCTGGCATCTAAGTTCAAACCAATGAATTTGGCACTCAAGGATGAGTTTCTTATTCATTTGATTTTTGCTTCTTTGCCCAAAGAATTTGACACATTTGTTGTTAATTACAACATACAGCCTGAAAAATAGGATTTAGAAAAGCTCAGCCATGTATGTGCAGGAGGAGGAAAGAATAAAAGTTTCACAGGGTGGTACTGTGAACTACCTAAAAGATAAGAAAAAGAACTATAATAACAGCTCTTCCTCCAAGTCATCTAGAAAGGGTCCCATGCAACAGTCTCAGAACAAGCAATTCCCAGTGGATAAAGATCAGTGTCTCTACTGTAAGAAGACGGGACATTATAAGAAGAATTGTCCCAATTTCCTAAAGATGATAATGAAAAATAAAGGTGAGAACATTATTACGTTCATAAATGAATCCTTGTATGTCAAGTTTTCAAAATCTACTTGGTGGATTGATTCAGGTGTAACTATTCATGTTGCTAATTCATTACAGGGATTCCGTTCGATGAGAACTCTGCAAAGAAGCGAAAGTTTCATTAAAGTCGCAAATGGAGTACAAGCAGATGTTGAGGCCGTTGGCGATCTTCCGCTAGAGCTTGCTGATGGCTTCATACTTTTTCTTAGAGATGTTCTTTATGTACCTTCTTTGCAAAGAAACTTGATTAGTGTATCAAAGTTGGACCATGATGGTTATGATTGCCATTTTGGAAATGGCAAATGTCAGATATTGTTTAATAATAGATGTATAAAAGGAAAGTATGTAAAGAAAATTAAGAAAGATGCCAAACGAAGCGTAGGAATTCTACAGATTATTCACACAGATATCTGTGGTCCTTTTCCTGTAAAGAGTGTGGATGGTTTTGATTCATTCATAACATTCACAGATGATTACTCCCGTTATGGCTACATTTATCCAATTAAAGAAAGAACAGAAGCATTGGAGAAATTCAAAATATTTAAAACAGAAGTTGAAAATCAGCATGATTTAAAGATTAAGATAGTCAGGTCTGACCATGGGGGGGAGTACTACGGTCGGCATACCCCATATGGACAAGTTTCTGGACCTTTTGCAAGGTTCTTACAGGAGAATGGTATAGTCGCCCAGTATTCAACACCGGGCGAACCTCAGAAGAATGAAGTAGCTGAAAGGCGTAACCGTACCCTGATGGATATGGTGCGTAGTATGATAAGTTACTCCACTTTACCGATGAGTCTGTGGATGGAGGCGTTAAAAATCGCCATTCATATTCTCAATAGAGTACCAAGTAAGTCGGTGCCCAAAACACCGTATGAGTTGTGGACAGGAAGAGTACCCTCACTTAACCACTTGCGTGTGTGGGGGAGCCCTGCTGAGGCTAAAGTTTTTAACCCAAACATTGGGAAGCTAGATCCCAAAATAGTGAGTTGCCATTTCATTGGCTACCCAGAAAAGTCAAAAGGTTTTCGTTTCTACTGTCCAGATAGACATACAAAGTTTATGGAAACGAGACACGTTGTCTTCCTAGAGGATGAAATGATGAGGGGGAGCATGATAGCTCGAGAAATTAACCTTGAATAGAAGCGGGTGTATGCACCCACTCCGATCATTCATGAGTCATTTTTCTCACTACCTGCTGTTGCTGCACCGTCAGTACAAGACACTGTGGTGCCAGCACCTGTTGTTATCCCGCCTATGGCAACAATGAATGATGATGAGGAACCTGTGCCTTAGGATCCTATAGAACCTATTGCCACACATGAGGGGGAGCAACAACAGCCTCAAACAGTAAATGTGCCAAATGAGGAGGCCCCTAGAAGGTCTCAAAGAGTTAGAAAATCAGCTATTCCTACTGATTATAAAGTGTACAACACTAAGGAATTTCAAATGAAGGATGATCCCACCTCATTTGAAGAAGCCATGAAAAGTGATCATTCATCAAAGTGGCTTGAGGCCATGAAAGATGAAATGAGATCAATGAATACAAATAAAGTTTGGGATTTGAAGATAATTTCTAAAGGAGCCAAAATAGTAGGCTGTAAATGGGTCTATAAAACAAAACTTGACTCTCAAGAGAATATAGAGAGATATAAAGCCCGACTTGTGGCAAAAGGCTTTACACAAAGAGAAATGATTGATTACAATGAGACCTTTTCTCCAGTCTCATGTAAGGATTCCTTCAGAATCATAATGGCATTAGTGGCACATTATGATTTAGAATTACATCAGATGGATGTAAAGACGGCATTTCTCAACGGAGACTTAGAGGAAAAT